AGTGGCAGCATCGATGGACTCAAGCGTGGCAACAATAGTGAGGTTGGCCCAGGATCTGGCAGTGTTTCGCTGTGCTGTGCATTAGGTCGCTATGAGTCAGTACCGACTCGATGGCACCTAACTATAACTACAACAGTCATCATCCATTTGGTGATCTGATGTGGTTATCCTGTTTTTGGTTTTTAACTTTTCATTGTGAATTGAGTGAAGAATTACCAAGTAGATCATCAGTTTTATGTTCAAGAAATCATATCCTGTTTTTGCATAATGCTGATTTTCTTTGAAATGTCAGTAAGTGAGGAGCTGGTATATATACATCAAATATATAAGCCAGTTAATGATAAATGCTAAAGGGAAAACTAAGCAAGAGGCCGGCAGGAAAAATTAATGTCTGTAGGGGAGGGTTACAATTTTATATAAGGTGGTGATCAATCACAGAAGGTCTCACTGAGAAGGTGAGAATAGAAAAATAAGAACTTTCTAGGCAGAGGGACCAGCATAAGCAAGGGTATAAAACAGCAACGTGACTGCATTCTAGAGGAACATCAAGTAGACCGGGCCACAGTAAAGGAGGGAGGAGAAGAGATCATACAGGGATTCGGGAACCAGCTCCTATAGGGCTTTGTGGGCCTACTTCCTGCCTGCATCAGCCCCATCTTCTTGTCTTTTATATTGTGAGGTGAGAGCCAGGGGAACATCCTGAGACACGGAGGAGCTTCATCTGACTCAGATGTTCACAGAGGTCCCCTGTTTTTGGGGAACAGACTATGGAGAGCAGGAGACAGTGAGAAGACTACTAAAATAGTCCAATTGGGAGGTGCTAATGACCTAGGCCAAGGCTGGGGCAGAGGAAGGGGTAAGAAATGGTCACATTTTGGATTTTTAAAAAGAGAGCCAAAAAAACAAAAACCAACAACAAAAAGGAGAGAGCCAACACAATTTCCTGCTGGACTGAATGGGGAAAATGTGTCCTAGTTCAAACACCCTTAGGACACCAGAGACAAACCTGTAGTCAAAGGAAGTTAGGTGAGGGAAACTGCACATCAAAGGTACCATGGGGATTTTCACCAAAGAAAAAGATAAAAGGCATTATTGGATTTGGGAGAAGCGTGACATAATGAATCAGTGTCTGCATAGACTCAAAGTAAAGCAGAATTGTGGGTAAAAGGATCAAAGTCAGGGTTGGACGGAGAAGTGGGTCCAGGGAAGAAATAAAATTTAAGAAATGCGTGGAATATTGTATCCAGAAAACATCTGAATCTGAACTGTAAAAAGAGGCTGCTTCCCTGTGTCAAAGAGTCCTAGTTTTTGCTATAGGATAAGGCTAGCCATTAAGGTCTAAAGTTCAAACCCACCAGCCACTCCATAGGACAGAGTTGCTGAGTCAGAATCTACCCAGGGCTGTGGGGTTTGTTTGTCTGTTTCTGATCCAAACTGATTTAGTTCCTCCAGGTAAAAGTGAGATGTTTCATTCTTACTGATAACATTTCAAAGTTCTGCCTGACATATATTTCAAAGTGTAATCATTTATGATTTTAGAGACTGAAACGCCACAGTAATAAGGCCGTAGTCACTCAAAGAACAGGAGTTGTGTCACTTTCCAGCTGCAACATGTCCCTGAGAGAAATCATTTTCCCTATGATCTTTGCCCCTGGCATATCCAATAAATAATGGCAGGGCAAATTTTTGTTGTTTACAACCCAAGCTATTTTTTCATCTTCTCAGGTGTGAAGAAAGAGAAGTGGTTAAGATGACTTCAAAGTTTCTAGTTTGAGCTACTAGGAATATGAACTAAACTATTAACTGAGATAGGGAAAGCTATGGAAGGGTTAAATGAGCCCTAGTGGTGTTGTGGGTTAAGTGTTGGACTGCTAACTTCAAGGTCTGTAGTTCAAACCCACCAGCCACTCCAAGGGAGAAAAATGAGGCCTGTCTACTGCTGTAAAGATGTAGTCTGGGAAACCTTATGGAACATTCTATTATGTCCTATTGTTATAATTTAACTAATACCCCCATTGAAATAGTATAGTATAACTAACAGCCCCCATTGAAATAGTATAGTATAACTAACAGCCCCCATTTGAAATATTATAGTATAACTAACAGTCCCCATTTGAAATATTATAACTCATATTTGAAATTTTATAGCATAGTTCACCCTGCTCCCCTCTCTCCCCCCTCCTCACCTCACCCTATGGAAAAATAATAAGCTTCTTATAGAAAAACCTTGAAGGTGAGAATGACCCAAGGACACCTGAACAAACAGGATAAAACTTAGCTCATCCACACAACCAAGATAAGGGTTTATTGGTGGGTTTACTCCCACTTACAGGGTAAGGGTCTACTGGAACTTACCACCCCGACTACCAAGACAAGTCTGTGTGTTCTAACGGCTCCGTGTTTCTTGTATAAAACCCTGTTCCCCTTACTTCGGGGTCAGAGTGACTTGGGCTTGAGCTGACCTCTGGCGGTGGGCAATAAACTTTGTTCTTTCTGACTCGCTGCTGCAACACTATGAATAGGAATTGGAATAGGAATAGGAATTGGGTCGCTATGAATAGGAATGACTGAGAGAACACAAGATCAGAAGCTGTTTGGGATGTTTTAAGCTTCAGATGCCTCAAACTCGTCGGGATGGCGAGCAGGGAAATGCCTGGGCCAACCTCACAGCTCTTTTTGTACTTTATCCCGGTTGGCCCTCGCTCTGTTCACATCTGTACAAGTTGATCGCCTATCCCTGACTTTCCACGCATCTGCATGTTGGCAAGTGTGGGTTTGCTGCTGTTACTATCATCTCTTCACTTTGCTACTAATCTCATAGCCAGCAAGTCCACACTACCAGCTGTTCCCGTAAAGATTTACAGCCTGGAAACTGTACAGGGTCGCTCTGAGTCGGCACCGACTCCATGGCACATAACAACAACTAATGGATGACGCTCTCAAGGGGGACCAGGATCCTGCATTTATTCTCAGATACCGCCCCATTCTCTGCAAGACTCGTCCGGAGCTTGCATTTACTTGTAGAGCTGACAGGGTGACTGGCCACGTCCAGTCGGCCCGCAGTGTTGGAGCGGTTCCGAGTCTGGCAGTGTTTGGGCATCGAAATGCAGCCCCGCAGAATTTAGCAGGGTCTTTTGACAGGCTTGTCCCAGGCCGCCCTCGTTTATAGGCGGGAACAGAAAAGAGGACTCCAGTGTAATACGTTCCCCGACGCGTCACCGCGCCTCATCACGTGGTGACCCGGGAAATTCAAGCATTATCTGCGTAAAGCTGGCGACTCGCTGGACCTTGATCACAAGATGGGGGAGAGGTGGAGCTTGCGCCACCAAATGAACGGGCACGTCAATCTCTTCTGGCTCCGCCCTGCGCGCACGTCGGAGGTTTGTCAGCCAGAGTGGAAACGAAGTGTGGAGACGAAGTTAAGGTTTTACCTCGTAAATTACAACAAGTATGCAAGTGAAAAATATAAAAACGTAGACTCGATGAAAATCATATTACCACGCTTGATCAGAGCATTAATTATACTTGAATTCAGCTCCTTTCCTACTAAAGGCAAGGCTCCCTCAAAGGAGCTCTGGTAGCGTAGTGGTTACGAATCGGGCTGTGAACCGCAAGGTCAGCAGTTCGAAACTACCAGCTGTTCCGCGGGAGAAAGATGAGGCTTTCTGCTGCCGTAAAGATTTACGCTATGAGTCGGAACCAACTCCACGGCACACAACAAAAACATGGCTCCCCCAAGCCGGATACTGTTCCGCCCCTTAGCCCTCATTGGTCATAAGTGCCTCCAGGTGCCCCAAGATTGGCCAGACCGGCGGCCCTGCTGCATCCAATGGGCGGCGGCGCCGGATTTCCCGCGGGCCGTTCACTATTCGAGTGGATCACAGCGGCGGCGGTTGGGCTGTGTAACGGTCGCTCGACCCCGGCGCGACGATGGCGGCCTTGGGCCCCGGAGCCTACACGCGGAACGACGTGGTTGAGAAATTGTCGTCCGTCACGGCGGGGGTTCCGGCGCGGAGGGGCCAGTCCTCTCCGCCCCCGGCCCCACCGCTCTGTCTCCGGCGGCGAACCCGATTAACTGCGGCGCCGGAGGACACGGTGCAGAGCCGGGTGAGAAGCTACCTGCCCTATCCATCCCAGTTCCGCGCTTTCCTGTCCCCGCCCTCAGGCACTTGGCTCCGCCCACCAGTCCCTGGGCTTGTCCACTTTGGCCATTCCATGCTTCCTCTTGGTCTTCTAGGTCCCGCCTCCTCAGGCAAGGCCCCGCCCGCTATCCTGTCCTTTTCGCTCAGGTGGTGGTGGTGGCTGTCTGCGGTGGAGTCGGTTCCGACTCATAGTGACACTGTACAGAGTGTCCGAGGCTGTAAATCCTTACGGGGGCAGGACGCCTCATCTTTCTCCAGCAGAACAGTTGGTAATTTCTAACTGCTGACCTTGTGGTTCACAGCCCGATTCGTAACCACTACGCTACTGTTGTTGTTAAGTGCCCTCGAGTCGGTTCCGACTCATAGCGACCCTGTATAGGGTTTCCGAGGCCCAGCTGGTGAGCTTGAACCGCCGACCTTGCAGTTCAAACGGCTTTGCAGTCTGGTGCATTAACCTACTGCGCCACACAATGCGGTAGTACCAGGTGGTGCTGTTAAGTTGCCCTCAAGTTGATTCTGACTCAGCGAGCCTGTATAGGGTTTCCAAGGAGCAGCTGGTGGGTTTGAACTGCCAACCTTGTGGTTGCAGCCCAGTGCTGATCCTACAGCGCCACACCAGGAATCCTTCCCTCCCACATTGCTCATTTACAAACCTCACCTCTAAACACCTGATCCCACCCCTGAGTCCTGAGCTTCCCCCCTGGCATCCCTTTGCATGCTTTTTGGTTTCTGTCAATTACCTCCTAGAATCACCACGTGTCCCTTAAACCCCACTCAATCACCTTTAGACGTTTATCCACATACACTATTGTTGCTGACTTTGCCCTGCCGACTTTTGTGGTGATGTAAGATAAAGCTTAGTATTGTTAACCACAATGTGGGCAGTTCAAACCCACCCATTCGACGCTCCATGGGACCTTATAACCAGGTCGCTGTGAGTTGGAATCAGCTTGATGGCACTTAACAACACTATGGTTCAGGAGCCCTGGTGGCCCAGTGGGTAAAGCTTGAGCTGCCAGCCTCAAAGTCAGTGGTTCAAACCCACCAGCTGCTCTGCATGCAGTAGAGGAGGTGGTCTACTTGGGTAAAGATACACGGTCACAGAAACTCTTCGGAGTAGTTTATAGGGTTGCCATGAGCTGGAATTGACTCCATGCAGTGAGTTGACGGTGGTTCAGATTCTCTTGAGAGTCCAGGTGTGGCCGGCTATGCGGGATAATGCACTGGACCACGAGACTCACCAGGTGCTCCTTGGAAACCCTATACAGGGTCACTGTGAGTTGAAACTGACAAAACAACAACAGATTCTCTGGGTGTTAAAATTCTTAGTTAACTTGCTGGGCTGAAGGTTGGAGTCTGGAGAGGCTCTTTGGAAGAAAAGCCTGGCAGTATACCCAGGGGGCTTCAAAAAGTTCATGGAAGAATGGAATTAAAAGATAATGGAATTTCTCCACAACCTTTTTCCTTGAAACTGTTTATTGTGAATTGAACGATGAAGCATACGCTTCATTTCATCTCAATGATTGCTATCCCTTCAATGAAACATCAGTTATTCCACTTGCTTTCTGTGTTCCTGGTTTCTGTTCCTCCTCCTCTCCCACCCTTCTGAATTTTGGCCGTTGTGGAATGTTGCCCTTTTGATCAAATGGTTGAGCATTCTACTGTGTGCATACCTCCGCTAGTGTGGACCCCCCAGTATACCTATTTATTGCTTGGTTGAAAATGGAGCCATAAGTCCAGACAGGAAGGGTGATCAAGGGCCATAGTCTCATGGTTCCAGCAGTCTCTGACCTATAAGCCTGATTTTTTTTTATGATTCTGAGTTTGTTCCACATTTTCTCCCACTGTAGCCAGAACCTGCTAATGTGATCCCTTTCAAAGTAGCCGTAACTGGGCACCATGCAGTTCTTCTGGTCACAGGGTTGCCTCCACAAACTCTTTTTTGTAAGTTTTTATTGTGAATTGAGTGATAGTTTACATGGGAGAGCTTCAGCCTTACATTCATCCTGTCGTATTTCGTTTCATTGCTATGATTTCAATCCCCTCCTTGTGTCATCATTCAACAGCATTTGCTTCCAATCCCTCTGTTTTTTGGTGTGTTTTTTTTATGTATACCGAAGCACTCAGGAATATATAATCATTCAAACAACCCTGCACACCAGCCCCCCAGCCGCCAGCATACAGCCCCTCTCCTTCCTTGAGTCTAGAGTCCCCAGCCACTCCATCTCTGTACATCATCCTCTCTGCCTCCATCTCTGGCGTCACTGCTTGTCTGGATAGGGTCCTGTTCTCCGCTCTTCTCCCTTGATGGTCCCAGGGTTATCAGCTCCTGGATTGCAAGATCCACGACTCCCTTCCATTTGTTACAAAATGTCTACCTTTACATTTGCAATATTCACAATCAGTCCTGATGGCAGTTATTCATTATTGAACCACAAGAGTCTTATCCACATCTCTTTTTACCAGCCCTTGCCCCCACAAACCCTACTTCCAAAAAATCAGCCATTGAAAACCACATTGAGCTGGAACTAATCCTACTCCCAGTGGTCACCTTCTGTCTAAATAATAGATTCCTGTATAAGCATTATGGCTTGTGAAGACTGTGCTCCTTTAAAGAATCAGCTCTGGGAGCCCTGGTAGTGCTGTAGGATAAGTACTGGACTGCTGCTAACCGAAGGTCAGCGGTTCTAACCCACCAGCCTCTCCATGGGAGAAAGGTGAGGCTTTTTGCTCCCATAAAGATTTACAGTCTCAGAAATCCTATACAGGGACACTTTGAGTTAGAACCGACTTGATGGCATTTAACAACAGCTACGAGACCAGTATTTACTCTAAAATAAAAATGAGAAGCTAAGGAGGGTCAGCGAAACGAAAATCACCCAAAATACACTAAATGTTAACAACAACAACAACAACAAAACAAGACAAAAAAATAGCTATAGAATTGGCTTACCCAAAAGGGGGGGGGGGAGGGGTGGCTACAAAAACAAGCAGTGACTGGCTTACAAGCTTTCAAGAGGGAGCCTAGTTCCAGAGGGTCCAGGGGAAGGTAGAATATCCATTAAGTGGTTCCCAGTCTGCCTGGATGGGGCTAATGAAAGGAGATATGGGGATAAGACTCTTGTGGTACAATAGAGAATAATTGCTATCAGGACTTGAAAATGTAAAGGTAGACGTTTTGTAAAAAAAGGAGGGGAGTGGCTGACTTTTCAGTACAGGAGAGGAGGTCCCTGGGACCATCAAGGGAGAGGAGCTGGAGCCGAGTGCTCCTGGGACCCTACCCAGAGAAACAGTGACTCCAGAAATGGAAGCAAAGATGATGATGTGGAGAGATGGAGCGATAGGATGAATGTAAAGCTAATGTTCTCCATGTAAACTATCACATAATTCATGATAAAAACTTAAATAAATAAAAAAATAACTGTAGAGCACAGTTCTCCTGACACACATGTTCCTCCTGAGTCAGAACCCATTCCATGGCAACTGGCTCTTTTTTCCTTTTTTTATTTAAACCAGATTCAGCCCAGAGGTTTGCCTCCCCTAATTCTTTCTCAGCCCTGTTCAGCCTCCCCTCACCCGCCACCTTCTCTTTCCTTTTCCTTATCAAGGTGACATTCTTACTCCATATTGCTACTCACAACTGTGGAAAGGATGTGAGTAATATTTGTACCGTCCTCTCAGCAGTGGAAGCTCCAGTGGGAGGGAGTAGAGCCCTGTGGTGCCTAACATCCTGAGGTGTAAAAACACAGGAAGTGAGTTTCAAGTAGAAGAAATTCCATTAGCATGGCATCAGTTTTAAAAATTGTTCTCCAAGTCCCTTAGTGACAAAGGCTGTCTTTGTTCCGTGGCTGTACTAATACCCATTCTTTGGAGTTGAAGGGAGGTGAAATGCCATTATGACTGACCTGCTGAGCACAGTGCATGACATCAGATGAAGGGTGGGAAAAACAAAACAAAACTGTTACCATGGACTCCATTCCAACTCTAGGCCTTTCTTCCAAGGTGCTTCTGGGTGGATTTGAACTGCCAGTTATGCTGGAAGTTGTTGAGCACTTAACCATTTGCACCACTCAGGGACTTCTTATTAAGTGCCATTGAGTCAGTTCCAACTCATAGCAACCTTGTATGGGGTTTCCAAGGAGCAGTTTGTGGGTTTGAGCCACCGACTTTGTGGTTAGCAATCCATTGCTTATCCTATAGTGCTCCAGTCAGCGACTCTGGGGTAGCTGTTGGTGAATCTTGTCCGTTCTCGGTGGCTTCCTGCTATATACCCTCTATCCCCTGTCTCCTGCCAACAGAGCCTGGACAAGTGGCCCCTGCAATCTCTCTGGTTGTAGCTCCTCCCTCTCACCAAGGTCCTGTCACACTGCCAGTCTCTGTCTCCCTCAGGCCCTAAGCTCTTCCCTGCCTCGCAGCCTGGATGTTTGGTGAGGTCCTCTGTTTGGGCTTTTAGAAAACCCCAGTCTGCCTGGCTGCTCTTCCTTCTCATTCCTCAAGTCTCAGCCTGAATATCCCTTCCCTGAGAGGCCTTCTTGAAGCCCATTCTAAAACAGACACCCACCTTAATCTTGCCTCCACCATTCTTTATAGTCCTTAATTTGTAATTTCCTGAAACGCCTTGGAGCTCTTAAACAACATAAATGTAGGAGAATGACAATTTCAGTTTCAGAGAGGCAGTAGAGCAAAGTAGTTAAGAATGGGAGACTCTGTCCCAGGCTGCTAAGGGCTCAAACGTTCCTTCTCTTTCCTGTCAATTTCCTCATTTAACAAATGAGGATAATAATTATACTCCGGGAATTTGCAAGGATTAAATGAGGCCTTGTTGTTAGGTGACTTCGAGTATGTTTCGACCCATAGCTCCCCTGTATGTGGTTTCCAAGGAGCAGCTGGTGAGCTTGAACTGCCGACCTTGTGGTAAGCTTATCCTGCAACAGCACGCCAGGACTCCAAATGAGACCTTGTTGT